CACGGCCTTCCCAGCCCACGGCGGCTTCAGCGCTCACGTCCCCGGTTCCCGGTGCCACGAAGCCAGAGCGGCCCGGCATGTTCATGCCTAGCGCGGCCCAGGGCCCTACGAGGAGAAGCCCAAGAAGGAGAAGAAGAAGTGGATTGTCAACCAAAGGACATGACGAGTCGACCGAGTGCGAAGAGCTTTTTCTTGTTTTGGACAATCCCATTGACAATAAGACATCACATCACATCAAAAAAAAATGCAAAGAACGACCTAACACGGCCGGCTCACGAGATGGCGTTTTCACGGGAAAGGCGAACGGAGGCAAAACGGGGAGAAATCGCGTGCGCATCAGCGGCCAGCTATCCCCCCCTGACCAACATCTCCCTCGCGCCCAGCAATATACAGCAGCAGTAGATGGAAGGGAGCGGATCTTGTCGGGGACGCACACAGACACGGCCATTTTGTTTTTCTCTTTGTTGGAACTATAAGGAAGGCAGCACTGCCTTGGGGGACACAATTTCGCATGGCCCCGCACCGCCTCAGCCTCTCTCAGAGCTGGTTTTTGGATCTTTCTGGCGCGCGGGCTGTCTTTTCACACGGGATCGGGCGATGGTCGAACAATCTTCCAGCATCGTCATTCATATATTCTTACCCTGCTCACAACAACCTATTCCTTCATCAAACGATTCGAACCCGTCTTGCGCACATGCACGCAAGCGACCTCTTCGCATTGTTGACGTACCTTGCCCAACGCCACGCGCCACACAGCCTTGCCTGGGTTTCCTAGGCCTTGACTGGGAGTGACGAAGCCTAAGAGCTAGCTTGGCGGCTTTTTTGTTTATCTACCTACCACACATTTCTCTGCCGTTGTCCTAGATATCTTTGTCCTTGTGAATTGCACCAGGATTGTTCATTTTGACATGAAAATAACCGTGACTTGGTGTCTCTCGACGAATTAGGGGTATTGATGATCTATGCATGCCAGCCTAGAATGCTGCGTCGTGTGTCTCTATGCCGAAAGCTCCCATCGGAGCGTCATCATTCTCCGCCCTGGATGTGTTACCTCTGAGTCTGTTGTCTTGCCTCAAAGAACGCGTGCCCGCCCTTTCTTCAGTCGCACAGTCTTGCATGTGTCTCACAACCCAAAGCTCTCCCTGCGTTGCGCTACAGACTCGAACACGTCTAGAACCTCGGCGATCGCTTCCTGCACCAACAACTTGCCGTCATGGATTATGCTGTCCTACTTGGTCCTCGTGGGCAGAGTGAGGTTCCCCGCGACACCGCCTTGCTCCTCTGCAGCATCCATATACAGGTCGATCAAACATCCGGCCGACCAGGCTTGAGTCGGCGACTGGAGAAGCCGTTAGCACACACTGCTGCTTCCTTGGGATATCTTCATTGTCACTTACCGAATCACCACAATACGCTCCATTCTTCTGGGTCAGCTCCTGCAAGCCGGCCCACGGGCTCTCCTGAATCATTTTCTTGCAACCGATAAGTCTTCTTGTCACTTGTTGGTAGGCCTCGGTCCTGCCAGCGTCGGTGTCACGCCTCTTGAGATCGAACTTCAATAGCGCACGCAGAAAAAAGCCCGTTGGCCACAGCCATTCGGGGCCTTGATGGTAGTTACGGCCCTTGGATGTCGCGAAGTCCTCGCTGTCCTCGCTGTTGACGTAGTATGGCCTGTAGTTGAGGTCGGCAGGGTCAAGCGTAGCCATGCCTGTGGGACCGCGAAGGACCGTGTCGGCGAGGTTCAGAGCCTGCATGGCATGAGAGGGGTCAAAGAGCTGGGGAGCCACCGTCATGGCAATGGGGAAGTTGGGTCGCAGCTGATAGTCCTCGTATTCCTTGCCGGAACGGTACAGATCCTTGTACATGCCTCGGCGGTTGACGACTGCCGGGTTCACATCGTACTTCGCATCCTCATCGGAGGAGAGAGGCACAAAGTAGCACCGTTCAAAGTTTGCCTGTAGAATGTCCGCCCAATCGGCAAAGCTGATGGAAGAAGAGTCTGCCTTCTTGACGGACGAATACTGATACTTCCCCTCGCTGCTGAGCTTAGCCAGCCACGCAAGCGTGCTGTACAGAAGACCAGTGATCTCCACAGCGGCGCCATCACGAGGTGTGCCAGGCACGCCCTTGGAGCCCGCGCGGGCGCTCTCGCCCATCTTGTCCATCCACGTGCCGCAGTTGTTTTGGTTACCGCCAAAGACCATGCCGGTTTCCCAGTCAACCTCGATGGCGATGTTGAAGCCTTCGTCTTTCATCTGGCTGTCGATGCCTGGGCCAGCATTGGCCTCGCGGTAAGCCATGCCCGTGGCGTGCCTCTGCAACGCTTCCTGAATAACATCCTCAATGGTGCTCTCCTGTGAGTACGCTCGCGAGTCCTCTGTGTCGAACCAAGTGTCATCGTACGGGAGGAAGCGGCGCTTGACACTGGTCTTGAGGAAGTCAACACCTTCTGGCGCATACTTAACATAGTCCTGAATGCACTGCAGGAAGAACCAGATGGAGTCGCGAGAGTTGTACCGGGGCGCATTGCCACTACTGAGGAGGTTGGGGATCTGACCGTGCTTCAAGACGCTGGCGAAGGCCAGAATGTGCTCCTTTGCCTCCTCAAAGCGACCGGTGCCAAGGTACAGGCCACGGAGCGAGATGAATACGTCGCGACCCCAGCATCGTGCCCATTCGACGGCAAAGTGGGGAAGGCCTGCCGCGAGCGAAGGCACCAACTTTTTGGGATACAGAGACCCAGACTTGACAAGACCTGTCTGCTGTACGCCAACCATGGCAAGGCTTTGCAGGAACCACTGGCCTTGACCCACGTTGGCGCTCATCAGCTCAATGCCGCGCTCGCAAGCTGCAATGTAGGAGGTCCTGAGAAGAAGGCCGAAGTATCGCGGAAGGAGGAAGCTTGGGATCTGTCGCAGGGCATCAAATCGCTCTTGAAACCAGTCGGCGGGCTTCTTGAGGGCCTCCTGCCCAGGCTTCTTGGCTGCGCGCTCCAGCCGGCCGACGATGTAGTCAAGGGCCCACTGGCCATCTCGAAGATGCTGACACAGGGGATGAGCGAGGTTGTTCTCGGGAATGATATCTTTCAAAAGGCTCCACCAGCCCTGGAGGCCGGCATATACCAGCTTGCCGTGGCCAGGAATGTCGTAGCAGCCATCCGCTCCATCGCTGCCATCTCTCTCCTCAGCCTCGCATTTGTAGAGGAGAAAATTGAGATCGATAAGGCTCAGGTCAGCAAAAGCTTTTTTGGCACCAGACGTGACGTAATTGTCAAGACCAGCAGAGTGTTCGGCAGCAGGAATCCAAGTCTCAAAAAGCGCGATGCTTCCGGGAGGGAACTTGTCGCGGACTGAGATGACAGTCTCATCGCCCTTGACTTCCATGCGAATACCAGGCACATCAATGACGCGGCTAGGTAGGCCTCTGAGGTACTTCTTGTCTTCGAGGACTTCTTTTGTTGCCTCTTCGCTGGTATCCACCTCGAGCATCCAGC